CCGAACTCGAACCAGTAAAACTCGGTTCAATTCGGCTTCTGGTATGGCCTAATGAAAATGTATAGGTAATAGTAAAGGAATAAGTATGATGAAAATAATTTTCAAGCGTTCAACAAATAATAACAAGATTGAACAAAAAATCACAAAATAACTTGCAATGATTATCAAAAAATGATTGATAAAACTTGCAAGAGATTTGACGAATTAATAAAATATGGTGAACAACAAATACGTAACAGTTAAAGGAGATTTTTGTGTAATCAGGTTAATATAAGAGTGTTTTATATCTTTTTTGTTAATAAAATATCTTATTGATCGATTGCGAAAAATTGATGCCCACATTCTTATGTTTATATTTTTATTATTAGAAGAGAAGATATTATTTAATAATATGTCATTTGAAAGATTGACATGAATACTCAAGGTTCATATAAAAACATTGAAGTAGAAGTTGTTTTGTGTCTTCATATGAACTCATTTTATTGTGCCTCAAGCCTTATGAAATGCCTTATATTAATCGAATTGATTATTCAATTTGTCGTATTCTTACAGATATCTTTATTTTAGGTGGTCTCCATGAGTGATTGGATGCAAAGTTATTCAGCATCAAAGAAGTATTTATAATTCTAGACAACATATTGATTTTTTCAAATAAAATAACTATTGTCGATGTCAAAATATTATGTATTTCGATTGTTTTTTAAATATTTCGTAAGCAAAAGCACTTACAATTCTAAGATTTTCACCATCCGAAAGGAAACTGTGGACGAAGTAAAATACTTCCATATTAGTTTTTCTATGCATTGGTCCAGTGAGACAACTTTCACGATGGATGTTGTTCAGATATTTTCAAAGACGATTTTTCAATCCAACATTAGCTTCGATTTAGCCAATCGATAATGAATAAATTTTGACTTCAACAAAGCTCAATTGAATACTACCAATTGCTTTTAGTTTCAATATAATGGTTTTTATAATTCATTCTGTACAATGCTGTGAACAGCAGATAGAATATCATCTAAATCTCGTTCTTTTGAGGTCATATTACTTCAAAATTAAAAATAAATATCATCATTCGCTGCAATTTGATCAAATAACCCTAATTTCATACTTAGGTCTGACCAAACGTTATGAGATCTTTAAATAAAAATATAAAGATAAGAAGATACTTTTAATTTTATTGTATCAAACGTTGAGGATAGTTGCCATGATTATTGATATCAAGTTCAATTCTTTCGACACAATTTATTAAAAGTTTTTTTGAACTGTTTTTCGAAAAAATTTTTAGCTACTTTGGATACCGCATGAGTATATAATATTTCATTTAATTAATTAAACTCTCTTCGATAGAGCTACTTAGTCAAAGATTAAGTAGTATTAGGTACAGCAAATATGGCTGCTGCGGCATTATATTGATGCCCTCTTCTGTCAAATAGTTAATAGCATCGGATGAGTATGAAGTCAACGATAATCCTCAAGCAGTTTTGTACATTTTGCACTTTATATCTCTTTTTGTTTTCATATTACATTTACAAAAGGCTTCAGATAATTTTCAATATAATACTTGTAACCTACTGTCATGCCTTTATCTACACTTAGGACTATTTGATTTAAAACATATGTCAAACAAAGTTTGCGTTCAAATCTATCTCCATGAACAATAATCTTTGACGATTCATCCTCAATAAGCCAGGTAGAATCAGATGACGTATGATTAACCTATATAAAATAAATCTATACTTCGTCACTAGTACTACTAGAACGCAAGTGACAACATCTGACAAAACTTCATTAAAATTTTAAAACAAATGAAACATGATTAGCTCATGCGGTATCCAAGGTAGCCAATTTTTTTTTTGAAAAACAGTTCGAAAAAACTTTTAATAAATTGTTAGAAAGAGCTGAACTTGATATAAATAATCATGGCAACTGTCCTCAACATTTGATAAAATTAAATTAAAAATATCTCCTTATCTTTATATTTTTATTTAAAGATCTCAGAACTTTTGGTCAGACCTAAGTAAGCGAAAATAAAATCAGTTTTGAGAGTCTTGGCTTTAGTTTAAAAATAAATATTATTCAAAAAAAAACATTCGATTGATTTTATATCTTCTAAACCAAATATTGAACAAGAAATATCATTATCTTTAAAAAAAAAGAATAAATCTTTGGTCCCTTGAAAATCCATATTTATATGATATTCATGTTGATTTATATCAAGCTGATATATTTATTGAACATATTGATAGTTATATCGATTCTAGACAAAGTTCTCTTTGTTCTAAAAAGGAAAAGAATTGTCTTAATAATAAACCATATTTTATGTTTGAAGTTCTTGATCAAGATTATTGACGTGATCATCCATATCGATATGATATAGAACAAATAAAACACTTAGGTTTTAATACAATTATTGATGTGATGCATCAGGTATACTTGTTTGACAAGATGTACCTGCAGAAGATTCCTTTTATGGTTATAAAGTTGAATTAGATGCTGATAAACAATTACGATTACATCATAATAATAGAGGACGAATGATTTACCACTAGTTCCAATAATAAATGTAGAATTATCTATAAATTGGCTATTGACTATTGAAAAAAAACTTTGAATCTAAAATTCACTTTGAACATAAATTAAAAGCAATGATTGATTTTCTTTCATTTCATCCATCAATTATTATTTGGGTATTATTTAATGAATAATGGGGTCAATATGATTCAATATGTTTAGAAAACATGATTGCAGATCAAGATTGTTTAATCAATACTGCTAGTGGATGGCAAGATCGAATAGGTATTGGACATATCAGAGATATCCATGATTATACGAAATAGATTTTATTATCATCATTTGATGAAATTTTCTTGGAGTTGTAATCATTATTTAATGACATATGCATTCAAATAATTTATTCTTAATCGTTCACTACGTTCATCAGCTATGATTTATACACAATTATCTGATATTGAAAATGAATTGGATGAAATTTTAACATGTAATCGATAAGGAATTAAATCTGTGGCTCCACATGTCATACGTATACTAAGAAATCTTTTTTATAATACTATACCGCAAAACCATTTTTAGATATTTATATACATTCTATACCGTCATTAGATGATAATGAAGATAAATCTTTTATACATATCAATGCTTTCTAAATAATTTATGCATATTTATTGATTTAAATAAATATATAGTGTTTTATTGGACAATGAAAATATTTCTTCTTTTACGTTATCGAGAAGTAGACTTGATATTCTATTACAACGTAGTGCCCTTGTTGATCCAGTACCATTTGGTAAACGAGCTGAAAATAATAAAATAGCTGGCTCAACACCATTAATTGATGCAACTAAATATAATCATCCTGAATGTGTTAAACATTTATTAGTACATCATGCTAATCCAAATCATAAAAATCATTCGAGTATATCAGCATTAATACTTGCAGCCGAACTAGGTTACTTTGAATGTGTTAAATTACTTGTACAAGCTGAAACTAATCTAAAATTAGCACCAAATGGTAAGAATAATTCTCTAGAAAACTTTAGGAATTGTTATTTTTTTATAACATTTATAAAATTAATTGATTTATTTCTAGGTTCAGTAGCATTAAGATTGAATTTATGTGGTCAAACATCATTATTTTGTGCAGCAAAAGAAGATCGAACGGATATGGTTAAATATTTATGAGATCATGGAGCTAATCCACATGTTCGAAATCATTATGGTGTCAGTGCTTTATGAATTCCAGCCCAAAAAGGCATGTTACAAGTTGTTGAATTATTATTAAATGCTGGTGCTGAAACACATGTTACTCCATGTGATAGTCAAGCTGATGAATTAAATATAACTGGTTTTTGATGTTGGAAAATTACTTCTTAAATGTGATGCTGATCCAAATACAGTAACAAAACTCAGTTCGACATAATTTTTGTTGGCATGTGAAATATGTGATTTAGATATAATTGAAGCTGGTGCTGATTTTAATTATGCAGCAAGTGGTCTAGAGGTTGATAATTTAAATATGACTGATCAAACAGCATTTTTTTGTGGCTATATTAAACAATCGTATTGATGTTGCATAGTTTTTAATTGAAAAAGGAGCACGAGTAAATGTATAAAATTGCTATGGTGTATCACCATTACTCCTTTGTACTGAATCGGATAATCGAGAACTTGTTCAAGTACTTACTGAAGCCACTGCTAATGTTAATATTACACTGCAAGAAGAATCAGCTGAACAAAAATTTCCTTACTGGACAGGTAAAAACTTTATCATACTTTTGTTTTTGTAGTGATCAACTAAATTTTTTATTGGCACTAACATTTAGAGAGCTTTAACATGTAAGGGTTTATATAGAAATTCTGTTCGTATATAAATGTAATACGAAAAGAGCTCTACATGTTTGTGTTATAGTAGCATTAGGCTGGTAATATGATCATATGAAAAATTACAATGAAAACTATGTACTCTTATTTTTAGATCAATAAGGAAAATTTACGCTTCTTCGTAAAGGTGCATAGTGCATTTAACATTCAACCGAAATCGATTCATGATGAATTATATTCTGTTTTCGGCGATCAAACTCCATCTTATAATACAGGTGCCAAATGGTCTTGAGAAGGATGAGAATATATCATAGAAAGATAAGAATGCAGCTAAAACGAAAATTTATGAATGAGTTTTTATTTTATTGAATAAATTGCTTTTAAATAAGAAAACGATATTTCGACTAATATTTCAATCTTTACTGTTCTTGTATATGTGTATTTATGATTTATCTTTTTGTTTGTGAATGTAATGTTATCCATCTATATATATATAACCATAGAACAATATGATATAACTATTGTTATTGTTGTGAGCAGTCAAGGATCATGCTAATACAGTTCGAATCTTATATCAACATGATGGAAATGTTGATCAACAATTTTGCGTTCGAAGAACAAGATGTAACTGCATATGATTTAGCTGGATCTTAGCAGTATGATCATGTATGTGAAGTACTCAAAAGTTTTGATACAAGACAACTATCTCATAGTATATTATCAAGTCACCTACAAGCTAATAAATAATCTCATTCTATCATTATATACCTAAAACAACATTTTGTGTTTTTCTATTTTCGATCGACGGTCAATTTTTTTTCTCTTCGTTTAACGTACGTTTGTATATGTTTTTTTTCTGTATAGTCTACTGTTTGCCTTTACACAAGCTCATTTTTTTCTCAATATCTATGTTTTTCTGCTCATGATTTTTTTTTTCTATTGAAGAATTTCTATGTATGCCTGTGTGATCTAGAGAAAGAGTTATTCTATGAATAAATGTAAACTAAATAATGTGTTTGAGATAAAACAAAGAATGGCATAAGTTCTAATCTAATGTGACTTTTTTATTTTTTTTATACAAAAATAAGAAGAAACAAATATGCTTCTGAAAATAGAAATATAAAATTGAATAATTAAAAGAATAAACACTGAAGATATTAATAGGAGATTGCAATTGCATAATTCAATCTCTTGAGGTACAAATGGTTTTTAGAAAAAAAGAACGACTTTTATACAGATCTGTTGTAAAATAATGTATCGATTAATAGAGGATATAGTGAATTACTATCTGCAGGGAATTCACACTTCTGTGTATCACTATATAATGAATGACACAGATCAAGGCATACCGTTGCAACTATCTAGATTAAATATCGATGACATGTAGGATGTGAGCGTTTTCATTGATTAGAATATATTCTTCATCCACATCTACACTCGTATTTTCAACGGCCACCAAGAACCATCTTCCCGTACAATTGTCTACACTCACATCCTCATGTACCTAGCATATCTTCATCTATTTCAAAAATTAAGAATTTTAAATTCAAGTACATTGATTTCGAGTAAGCATAAAGAATAATTCTTTTGAAAATTTATTTACAATACAAAAATTATAATGATTTTTGTCATGTATTACATTTCTCTCATATCTTTTTGTTCATTGACATAGTTTCATTCTCGGAAAAACTTCAATTATTAGTGCGGAATACATGATCCATGATGAAGCATTTACTAGTTTTCTTCTTCAAGCCATTTGGAAGGAAGAATTTTAATGCTTTCAACATAGTTTGTTGTTTTCCGCATACATTCTCCAAATAAATCATATATTGTTCATAAGGTCGATCAATTTCAATATCTGTCACTTTGAAAAATGTTCGTGGACTAATTAATACTTCTT